TTATATACGGGGGCAGGGGGTACCTCTAGACACACAAGTTGATCTGTTGATCTCTCCCAGCCGTGTGCGGTGCCCCCTCCACCATATTCCACCTCGGTCATATCGTAGCAGTGCTTAGGCGAAGCCCTGCGTCGGTAGCAACATCATCACCGTCATCACGCCGTCGTGCTGACGGAACTCTCCCGTGAAGCTCTGCTGGATCGGAGTTCGCGGGACGTCATCGAGCTGAACGTGTGCTGAACTCGGAGGTGCCGTGCATTTGGTACTTGGATCGGTCGGATCGTGAAGACGTAGGACTACATCAACCGTGTTGTGCTAACGCTTCTGCTTTCGGTCTACGAGGGTATGTAGACAACACTCTCCCCTCTCGTTGCTTTGCATGTAAGTGCATCTAGTGCCCCTTAGTGATTTTGGTGTATTGAAGACTTATAGGTTAAGGGACTAATGCGTTTGTGAGTGTACACATGTCTATAAGTCTATGAGGAGTTTGACATTTACAGGAAAAGTCGACCCCTAAAAATGAATATCTTCAACTGAAGATTTTGGTATTTCTGAAGACTTTCATGAAGACTTTGAAAGTGAAGAAATTGGTGTGTCCGTGAAGACTTGATTCATGCGAGGAATATGAAGCTTGAAGACTTTCATTTTCATAGTTTTGTTTCTCTCTTTCTTGAGTCATAGGAAACACTGTACTATTAAAGGGGGTCGAGGAAATACTAAGGAAAAATTTCCATGTGATGCTAAACTCAAAATCCTACACCTGCCAATCCCTTCGAGTGAAGCCATTGGAAATCTCATACAGTTCAGTCAATTTCTTCAGTGACAGAGACGAAGTTCTTCTGGTCTCTGAGGAATTTGTCCTGACCGAGGAGTTAGGAATTCGCTAGTGCGGATTGCCTACACAGTGAGGAACATGATAGCCCTGAGGATTTTGCTACTCAAAATTCCGACCGTTGCTGTGCTATGTGCCAGCTGTCCTAAAATATCTATCCACCTAACGGTCATATCATTGAAGGGCATTTATGTCTTATTATGTCGGGCTGCTCCCTAGGCTATAAATAGCCGCCCCCTACAACCACTAGCTGGTCGGCTGCTCCAAGAGAAACTGACACTTGTCATTTGAGAGCAACCCATCCTCTGAGGACTTTGAGCGAAAATCATCAAGTGAGGAAAAACCAAAAACCCAAAACCCAAAACCCAAACACCTACAAACCCCAAGTGATTGAGCATCACTGAAGAGATTGATCCTGAGTGGATCCGACGCTTGTTACCTTTGAAGACTGTGCTTCTTCCAGACGGTTAGGCGTCATGGTCTAGAGCAGCCAAGAGGAATTGTGGATCACCGAGTGACCAAGTTTGTGAAGGTTTGGAAGTCGCCTGAAGACTTACCACGAGTGATTGGACGAGGTCTGTGTGACCTTAGTTCAAGGAGAATACGGTGAGGACTGGGTGTCCTGAGCTGCGTGTTTAGGACTGGGTGTCCGGGACTGTGTGTCCTCGAGTTTAAATACTCAACCGCTCCAACCAGACGTACAACTGAGACAACAGTTGGAACTGGTCTACCAAATCATTGTCTTCACCAAGCTTACTGGTTCTATTTCCTCAACTCTTTCATTTCCTCATAACTGTGTTGTGTGTTTGTCCATATCTGTGTTTGAAGACTTTGACTGAAGACTTTCTCAATTTCCTCAGTTCAATTTCTTCAGTCTGTTTGTCTTCATCCTGTGTTATCCTGTGATTACGTTTTCTGTACTCTGTGCCTGTCTTCATTTCATCATGATGACTATGCTTGTATTCTGTTATGTTTACTTTTGAGTACTTATTCCGCTGCTAGTAGTTCTTCGCTAATGAATTTCCTCACTGGCAAATTCCTCAGTGAAGAATTTCATAAAAATCGCCTATTCACCCCCCCTCTAGTCGATATAACGCACTTTCAATGCATCACCATGATCTTGCGTGTGCATGGGAAACTTTTGAAATTACTACGTTCCCCAACAGTTTGGGTAGGGATTTGCGGTAGTGTCCGGGCGTGTCCTGGGATGCGGTGGCCTTGCGCCCAGCGCGCGGGCCCCATCCCTTTTTGACCCATCATGTCCGTCGCGGCCAAAAATGCCCATATTTCCATCAAAACTAGTTTTTACAACCCAAATGTTTGTCTGAAAATTAAAATAGTTTTACAACCAAATCGAAATTGTCTACACTGAACATAAAATGGACCAATACATCTATTGGTTGCCAATGTGATCCCACACGTGCTCTACCAAGTCATTTTAAAGATTCAAATGAGTGTGCCAATCACGCATCTCACGATGGAATTGGGCAAATTGTTCAAATGTGGCCAGGTCTTGGTGCAGCGGCTCAATATTTTCACCTTGATAATCAAATCCTTGGTCGAAGATACTCTCATCACGCTCGTCCTCGACGATCATGTTGTGCATGATCACACAAGCAGTCATCACCTCCCAAAGCTTCCTTTCATCCCATGACAGTGCAGGGTTTCGAACGATACCCCATCGGGATTGAAGCACACCAAAAGCACGTTCCACATCGTTTCTAACACTCTCTTGCATTTGGACAAATCTCTTTCTCTTCTCACCTTGGGATTTCGAGATTGTCTTCATAAAAGTTGACCACTGAGGATATATACCATTTGCTAGATACTATCCCTTGTTGTACTAGTGGTCGTTGATCTCAAAGTTGACAGGTGGGGAGTGGCCTTCTGCAAGCCTCGCGAAGACTGGAGAACGATGCAGCACGTTGATATCATTGTGAGAACCTGCCATGCCGAAGAAAGAATGCCATATCCAAAAATCATGTGATGCCACCGCTTCTAATATGACAGTGCACGCCTTGACATGCCCTGCCCTGCCAAGCAAATGGACAGTTCTTCCACTCCCAGTGCGTACAATCTATGCTGCCAAGCATGGCTGGAAAGCCTCTAGCTGCGTTGGTCGCCAGCAATCTCTCTGTATCAGCGGCAGTTGGCTGCCTCAAGTACTCTTGGCCAAACACCTCGATCACAGCCTGGCAAGACTTGTACATTGACATCAGCCATGTTGTCTCACTCATACGCACATACTCATCCACCAGATCGCCTGGAATTCCATATGCAAGCATGCGGATGGCCGCGGTGCATTTCTGGTAAGAGGAGAATCCAAGCTTGCCAAGGGCATCCGTCTTGCACTCGAAGTATGGGTCATGAGCAACCAATCCCTCTCGGATATGATTGAACACATGCCTTGCCATTCGAAAACGGCGACGAAATTTATCCGGCTTGAAGAGCGGGGTGTTGGCAAAGTAATCGGCATAGAGCAGGGCGTGGCCTCTCTCCCTGTTGCGGTTCAGGCTGGGAGCACGACCAGGGACTGACCCCCTGTACCGAGGAAGCTGCCGTTGAATGTGGTCGTGAACGACCAGTGCAGCCACCACGAGATCTTCATCATCCGACGACGAATCATCCGATGAACAAAGGAAGTGATGGAAGAAAAATTCGTCTCCACTGTCCATACCTTTGTGGGAAAAATGCCGAACACCTTGCAGTCGTGGTGGCGAAGAGGCCGTGATGATCACCTCGACGCAGCAGGGGTGGTTGCCGGCCGGCTACTGGCCGCTCTGGAGCTCTCATCGGAAGCTGCCGAGGCCGCCGTGGTACATCGCCGGCGGTCGTCTCCCCTCTGCGACCGGCAAAGACGGTGATGGCCAATCACCTCGATCGACGACCAAAACTACGGCCAAAGCGCGGGCGTGGTGGCGGCCATGTCGAGACGTGGTTTGGTAGGGACGGCCGGGGGCTGCGCGGTGAGGAGGCGGCCGGAGAATAGCGGCGGCGCCGGCGGCGGGGCGGGGCGGGAGAGAGAGGGTGGAAGCGTTGGGAGCGGAGGGACTGCTAGTGTCCCCGACATGCGGGCCACGAAGGGGACAAGGGCGTGCGTCCAGGCCGTCCGCGCGTGTCCGTTTCACCCCAAACCGAGCGCAATTTTGGGCCGGGGATGAGTCGAAAACGAACGGAATCCAAACATTTGTCCGTTTGAGGCCGCGTGCTCGGTCGTGCTATTCGTCCGTTTTACTTCAAACGGACGCGCGCGGACAGGATGGGGTCGCGCCGTGGAGTTGGCTTCATGCCCCCCAATTGATGAATCATGGTTCAGTGTAAAGCACTTTGCGTCTATGGTTTATTTTGAGAGAAGGAAAAGAGGCTCTTTCCTTTGTCTGCCGTCCATTCGTTTCGATCTCATGGACCAGGTTTTAGTTAAGTCCTAGTCCCCAAACCGGTTCAAACTAATTTCTCCAGGGGTTTGTTGTGGATAATATAATATCCAAACTAATTTCTCCAGGGGTTTGTTGTGGATAATATAATATCCAAACTAATTTCTCCTTAGAGCTAGGAAGGAATCCGTTTTTTACTCCAAAAAAAAAAATAGAGAGGAAGGAATCCCCACGATCGCACCCTCCATATAAATGCCCTCGCCCCCTCTCGCCTCCATTCCTCCAGCTCGGCCGTCCAAGCCAGGTCTTCCCAGCTCGATCTGCCCCGGAAGCCAGGTCTTTCTCCTCCCTCGCTTCCTGCTCTGCTGTCCATGGGAAATCCAGTCTTTTGTTGTTCGCCCTTCTCCATCTTTTCACCTACCTCTCTGTGGAAAATAACAAACGATTACCGGTGCAGAGGGTTTTAGGGTTTTTCTAGACCAAGGGTTTTAGGGGGTTTCAGTGCAAATTACAAGTTCCTGTAAATTTACCTAATTATTTTCGACAAAGCTGAACCTACAGGTTTATGTTTATGGAGTGCGATTTTACTTCTTGATCTCTTATTTATTAATTAGTAGTTCATCGGGGAAATTTTGTCCTCGGCAAATTGATTGATTTACGTTCAAGTGGTAAGTCATTAAGGAATGGTGACTTATCTTTGTGCGGCGTGGTTATTATTTCGTCAAGATTTGCTACTTTTGGAGATTACTTACGTGCCCTGTGGTGTTTCCAGAGGAGGAGAGCAGAGGAAGGCTATGGGCAACACCGGGAGTACATGTATGTCTTCTTGGTCCTTTTCTAGTTGAAATTCAGATTATGCATATTATAAATGTAAGACACATACCAATTAGAGCGCTCATTTGCTAAACAAAATCAGGTAAAAAGTACATGAATCGTAGCGCTTAATTCTTATGGTCCTACAGTTCTAGGTGTGCTGCAGAGAATGAAGTTATTGTCATCGCTATCATCTTTAGTACCGTAACTAGCAAGACGATTAGCTACCGGTGATTGCTCTTTGACTGGGCTTGTTGCGCTGGTGGCTCTTGTGCCCCTGTGGTGCTCATGCAACAATCATCGATCGTGATCATGGTCGTCTGATCTGTGCTTTGGCTGCCACCGTGAACACCCATGGCTGATGACCAAACACACTTTTTTTTGCGACTAAAAAAGAAGGCATGCTAGATTTCTAGACAACACAAGCATACTTGCTGATTACAAGAAGCATTACTTCGGGCTATGACATACATGTAGGAAGTACTATACATGTTCCGTTCTTACGCTTTTTTGGTCCAAGTGAATAACTATTCTCATAGATAGGGGGCCCCTTATCACATTAAATCTGTGAAGATTGCATGCCTTCACGTATGTACATTATTTGCTTTATGGTTGCTTTATTTATAAAGTGAGGCGAAAGCCTTTTTCGGTATGTACATTATTTGCATTTTCTGCTCAATGAAAAGACGTTCTGCTGCTTCCATATTGCCCATGGTAGATATTGCAGCCTGTCCATCTGCAAAAATGCAAAAGCACATTAATTTTCTGGATGGTGCATACTGCATATGTTATTTTCCTTTCCCTGGACTGGTATGTAATTTTGAGTTGCTGCCTTCATCGAAATTTCAGCTCCTGCAAGCTTAGGAAAGTCTCATGTTCCACATTTACAATGGAAGGTTCATGACTTCTCAGCGCTACTTGAGACAGGAGCCATGTCAGCAAAATCTGCTCCTTTTCACTGCTCCGGGTATAAGTGGTATGTATCATAACTGCAGAAGGATTTGTTACACAATTACTATGTGTTACATGCAAATATTACTAAACCATTCATTTTGTTTTTAGTAGACAGAATCGCTATCTGTATATCCATATGCAATACTCCCTCCGTTCGGAAATACTTGTCACCAAAATGAATAAAAGGGGATGTATCTAGACGTATATTAGTTCTAGATACATGCCTTTTTATCTATTTTGATGACAAGTATTTTCGGACGGAGGGAGTACTAATTTAGGACAAAAAAACACTAATTTAGGATGTGAGTTACTCTCGCTAATCATGCTTCTATGAGGTCAAATTGTCGATCATAATAATTCCATTAACAAAAAATTTGGTAGGATGCATGAAGTGAAGAAATCAGATTTCATTCTTACTTCAGTTATGACTACTTCTAGACTGATTTTGTTTTACTTTTTTTTTGTCCATCAATTTATTTACCAGGTTCCTGAAAGTGACACCACCAATGCATCAAAAACCTGGCGCTGAAACTCCATATGTTGGTCTTTCTCTTAAACTAGGCCGGACAAGCCTGAAGCCGGGTGACACGGTAAATGCCGTGTTTGAGTTATCAGTATACAATCATGCAAAGAAGATATACTATGGACGCAAAGGTATTTTTAATTGCTTCTTTGTGCACGTCCAACCTATTACAGTTGGGATTCCCTTCCCTAGTCCTTTGTGTCTTGCTACATAAGTTTGAGCTATAATTCTATATTGGGATTTATATTGAACATGATACCTACATGGGATTCACTATATTGCTGCCATGTTTGCATATATGCGTAAAGGGTGTGAACGGAGGTTGTACATTGTTTGGGGTATGTGCAGCTTACATGCAAGTTTTCACTCACTAATCTTCTAATCTTTAACTGAATGCCGCTAGCCACAACTTTGATTTGAACAATACATGCTCGAAGAATGAATGTTTGATTCCTCTTCAGAAGCTACTAAAATCATCTGCTTTTCTAGTTGATGATAGCTGTGTCTTTGGTGTTAAGATATTGAAAATTAAAGTATGTTCTCCTGAAAAGAAGGCTGTTATGGTTATGAAGAAGGCTACCACACTTCAGAACCTTTTTATCCAGAAGAAAGGGCTCATCAAAGGGACCTACACCTGGACCATGGACAACTACCATGAATTGGACTTGAAGCGCTATGTTTGTTCTCCTACATTTGAAGTCGGTGGACATAAATGGTACTCATATCTTCCATCGGTTACATATAAATGTTTTTTATTAATAATTTGCATGCAACATTAGTCCATTTATCGTAAATGTACCATGCCAAGTTACATTACTAATTTTGTAGTGGCCGGAAGTAATTCTCCAGTGCTCTATGCCAACATACATTAGGGACATCCAGATGTCTGTGCAACACAAGTTCCATTGTCACTTAAGATATTCCAACTGAACATCTTAGCCCAATTTCTACGAAAGGAACCAAGCAACTCTTGTTCTAGTATATTTAGAGACACCCAGAAACACACTCACACTCCGATGCATCACCTAATGTGTTACTGAATATTCAGCCTGCAAACTCGATGAGTATATTTTGATGCCACTCTACATGTCTGTGAACAGGCATGTTGGCATGTATCCGCATGGATGCAGACACATCACCGGCCACATCTCCTTGTTCTTATACCTGGAGTCCTCGGATAAGCTCTGTGACGAGTCCGGGAAGGTAGTTGAATTGACTCTATCCATCCTAGACCAAAAGAACGGGAAACACTCCACCATCACTTCAGGTTCAGCTCTCCTTAGCAACTATCAGTGACGACTATAATTTGCTACCTCCTGATTTCAATTGATCTTACTTTTCTGGTGATCGCAGGTCTCTCAGTGTTTGCAGGTGATAGCAGCTGGGGATGGCCCAAGTTCCTTACAGTCGATAAATTCAAGGATCCGTCTCGAGGCTATGTCCTAGGATCGAGATGCGTCGTCAAGGCAGATTTCACTGTCGTTGGCTCCTCCAATGATGGTTAGATCTTTAGCTCATGGCCCTTGCATCCTACTACTTGCTAGTATTCTGTTAAGTTTTTGCCATATTGTTTTGGTAGCAGTGCTAACACGACCATCATATGGTGCTAACGACAAACTTAGCACTGGAAGTTGAAAACATGTTAGTTTTATTTCGGGCAATGTGATGTTAGAAACTACTCCCTCCGTTCCAAATTACTCGTCGCAGAAATGGATGTATCTAGAACTAAAATACATCTAGATACATCCATACCTGCGACAAGTAATTCGGAACAGAGGGAGTACTTCAATACGGATGATGCAATCATTTCGTTTGGCTTATTATCCCGCTAGTACAATTTAAGTTTCTACCATCTCTCCTCACTTTGTCCTGGTCCGCCAAATAGATTTTGGTGTTGGTGCTGTTATTGGAGAGACATAGGCTTGCTTGTTTGCAAGATAAGTTCAGAGATTGACACTTGCTGTTACATGAACGAGGAATAATCTTAATATCAGTTACAGCTGGAGATGTACAGATTGAATGCTGGAACTTGCCATGGTTGTTACATGGACATGGTAACAAACCAGATGCAAAGCGACAGTAAACAATTGCGTCAACGCTTTTTCTTTTTCCTTTTCAGATGAGATGCATTGACCGTTTCAAAAAAGAAATGAGATGCGTTGACGGTTGAGGCACACACGAGGTGGATATGGTAGATGCATAACACCTGAATTTCTCAAAATTTTCTCTTGACCTCTGAACTGTACTTGAAGCTGAAATTTGGTGACATGTTCTCTCAGGCGGCTGACCGCCCTTTATTTTAATGATCGCGGGGGTTGAGGGTCACCACCTGAATATAACGAGGAAATAAAAGTTTGCAAGCGAAAGAGACATGGCTGCAATTTTAAGCATTCCCCATGCTCATCAATCAGTTTAACTCATTTCCTTTGCAAGACATTCAAGCACGAGTTGGTAATTACAAAGTTAGTCATGCCCTTTATAGCTAGTGATACTAAGATCGACGATCAAATATTTCACATCCATAGCATGCCATAAGGAAAATTGATGAATATTACATCTGAAACAAAAGAAACCATCCTAGCTCATAGTATTTCAGATACAGATTTACATAGGTATCTCCCCTAATGTTGTACTTTGCCTTATGCCGATCTAGCAATGCTGGCCTCTGCTCGGGCGGTAAACTCTGCCGCCATGCTCTGTGGTGTGCATTCTCCCCTTGCATTTCTTCAAGTGTTAAACTTGGCATGAGAATTCTTCAGCGATCCTTCATCTTTTCCCTAATCTGGGTGCTAACTTTGCCATATGCTCTATCACGGTCCTGTCTGGCTTTCCTTTGCTCTTTTTTTTGAAACGGAGGTTTACCCCCGGCCTCTACATCATAATGATGCATGCAGTCATTTTATTAAACGTACGCAAAGTAGCACAAAGTCAAAAGTATTACAGCTCGCAAGCGGAGCGAAGCAAATGAAAAAAGAAAAGTACATGCCGACAATCACAACCGGTACGGTAATATGTAGGATAAGGTTTCTAGTCCTATCCTGTTATGCAACCGCCATCCGAACCGGTTTAATATAGCTCGTGCTACCATCTCCCACTGGTTGCACCCAGTAATCAAAGGCTCCCTGGAGTCCATAGGAGTAAGGACCACGTATGGATCCAAGCGGTAGCTCTGAAGATAACCTGCAAGAAATTTAAATTTTATTGTCTGTTAAAAGTAAAATCATTCCGACAGTTCCATATAGCCCACAAAAGTGCACATATACCAATCCAAATACGAGCCGCAATAGTATGTTCAACCTTAACTAACCACGTTCCAAACAATGACTCAATGTCAACTGAAGGGTTAATGTTAAAGGCTATATGAATCGTTGTCCAAAGCAATTTGGCGAGTGGGCATTCAATGAATAAATGTTGTATTGTTTCATCATGATCACAAAAACAACAATGTGCACTACCTACCCATCGCCTCTTAATTAGATTGTCCTTGGTGAGTATTACTTGCTTGTCGACAAACCACATAAAAATTTTAATACGCAAGGGAACCTTAATCCTCCAGATATGCAACGATCTTAAGATTGGGCTACAATTAATCAGATCCATATAAAATGATTTCACCGTAAAAACCCTATTTTTAGCTAATTTCCATTGCGTCGAATCTGAGAGTTGAACATCTATCAATTTCCGAACCAAGTGCATTCAGGCTGTCCATCGCTCACCAACTAGCGCACGTCTGAACTGGATATTCAAAGGGTTCGATTGGAAAACTGTGCCTACGTACTCCTCCTTACGTTGCACAATGTTATAAGGGTTGGATATTGGACGACTAAGGGTGCCTCTCCTAACCACGTATCCTTCCAAAATCTTGTTGACATCCCATTGCCAACCAAGAATTTGACCCTACGAAAGAACGAATCCTTCATCCTCATAAGCCCTTTCTAGAATGGCGAGTTAGTTGGTCTCATGGTAACCTGGGCGAGTGTTTTCGACTGCAAATATTTATTACGCAAAATCTGTGCCGACATGCCCTCCGGCTCTGTCTCTAACCTTTATAGCCATTTACTCATAAGGCATTTATTCTTAGTTTCTAAGTTCTCAATACTAAGACCACCCTGGTCTTTTGGTCGGCAAAGGATATCCCATCGCATGAGTCGGTATTTCCTCTTGACCTCATCTGACTGCCAGAAGAACCGGGATCTAAAGAAATCAAGTCGCTTCTGTACCCCTTTCGGAATTTCGAAGAACGATAATAGGAACATCGGCATACTAGTCAATACCGAATTAATCAGCACTAACCGACCTCCATAAGACATAAGCTTACCCTTCCAGCAGCTCAGCTTTTTCTCAATTCGATCTTCGATACACTTTCATTCTTTATTAGATAACTTGCGGTGATGAATCGGTATACCCAAATAACTAAATGGTAAAGAACCTAATTCACACCCGAACAATTGTCTATAAGTATGTTGCTCGTCTTTGGCCTTCCCAGAGAAGAACAATTCACTCTTGTGAAAGCTTATCTTTAAACCAGACAATTGTTCGAAGAGACATAAAATAAGTTTCATATTACGCGCCTTAGCAATGTCATGTTCCATGAATAGGACAGTGTCATCAGCGTATTGTAAGATGGATACTCCTCCATCAACCAGATGAGGAACTAACCCTTCCACTTGACCATGCTGCTTGGCTCTGCCAATAAGAATGGCCAACATATTTGCCACTATATTAAACAACAAGGAGACATGGAATCGCCCTGTCTCAGACCCTTGTGTGTCTGAAAGTAATGGCCGATATCATCATTAACCTTGATTCTGACACTACCCTTCTGGACTTGAGAACCCACCTGGTTCCGCCAAGCCTCACTAAATCCTTTCATACGCATTGCCTGCTGAAGGAAAGGCCATTTCACTTTATCATATGCCTTCTCAAAATCCACTTTGAAGATAACCCCATCCAGCTTCTTCGAATGGATTTCATGAAGCGTTTCATGCAAAACAACCACTCCTTCAAGAATGTGTCGCCCTGGCATGAACGCTGTCTGGCTGGGTTGTACCACAGAATGAGCAATTTGTATCAATCTATTGGTACCCACCTTTGTGAAGATTTTGAAACTCACATTAAGAAGACATATGGGCCTAAATTGTTCGATCTGAACTGCTTCTTCTTTCTTTGGTACAACGTAATCATGCCGAAGTTAAGATGAAACAGCTCAAGATGACCGTTAAAGAAATCATGAAACATAGGCATAAGATCATCTTTAATAATATGCCAACATTTCTTATAGAATTCAGCAGGAAACCCATCTGGTCCTGGAGTGTAACATCCCAAATTTTCAATTTGTAATGTTATACATAGATCATTCTTGCATATCATGTTTTATTGCATTTTCGTCCCGCAATCCTCGAAAATCCTAAGCAACTCAAGGACCCTCGGAGAGAGTTGGGGATTTCCCTGTTCTCATATTTGGGTTTTACCAAATATCAAAACGAGGATTTTGGTTTTAATTATTTTTCTCTTCGAAAATATTTCATATTAATATATGAGAGGAGATAATATGACTTCTCCAAAATAATTGAAATATTGGAGGAAAAAATATTAAAATCATTTATTTGATTTTATTTGGATTTTATTAGCAATTAGAACAATTGCACGTTTTTCAAAATTGCATTTTAGGACCAAGAAAATGTTCATCTTGTTCTAAATATTTTATTTAGACGGTTAAAATTGTTTTGGCATTTTTAGAATTTTATTTTATTTCCTAGGATTTTTCTGAATTTCGGCGGAATTGTTTTAAAAAAAGGAGCGCGCCTAGGCCGACTGGGCCGAAGCCTAGCCCCCGGCCCACCTCGCCCCGCGCTGCCGTCTCCTGGCAGGAGACCGCGCCGCCGCCGCCGCCGCCGACAGGAGCCCGGCTCGGACTCCTCATCCCCGCCGTGCCCCCTTCCCCAAGGCACCACCCCGCCCCCCTTTAAAGCCGCAACCACCCCGTCGCCCTGGAGCCCCACCCCGCCGCGAGCCGCCGCCCCTGCCGCCAAAGCCGCCGTGCCGCCTTGCCGCCTTGCTTGCCGCCGCGCCGCCCTCGCCGCGAGCCGCCGCCGCCCCGCACCGCGTCGCCCCTCGCCGGAGCCCCGCCGTGCCGGACCTCGCCAAGGTTAGCGCCGTTTGGTTTTTTAGAAAGCCGGTTCGGTTTTTGTTAGAAAACCCTAGTCGTTTTTTTCGGTTCACCGGTTTTTCTTTTCGGTTTTTCTTTTTAGCGGACGTTTAGTCGTACGTACATTTTAACGAACGGTTTTCACTCGTTAGTTACAGATAACGAACGCTCGTTCGTTAGCCTGTTCGTCAGTTTTATTTTATCGGATTTTTCCGCAATTATTTCTGATTACGATTTTTGATCCGATTTTCGTTTTAGTTTTTCTTTTCGCTCGTTAGTCGGAATCAGGCGATTCAAGCGCCTAGATCTTCGTCTTGAGACCCTCTTTCCGCTTAACCAACTTGAACAAGATTTTGGTATTGCAAAATTTGACCTAGGTCCAGATTAGTAAACGGATCTTGTTTCTTTCGCCATTTGAGTTTCGTTGCTCCGTTTGGTTTGATTCTTTTTGCAAACCGGAGTTCTTAAGTTGAACTTTCTGGTTAGATCTTCTTATTTGAGTTTTACCCATGCTTCTTTGTTAGTTGCTTATATATGCTATTGTTTGTTTGCGATAGAATTCCCGGAGTGCGAAGCGTGTTACTTGGAGTCTCTAGGTTACGCGGATCATCGGCAAGGCAAGTAACACTTTGATCATACCCCTTTATCACCCAGTTTTTATGCATTAGTTCCAATCCTCAAACATTGCATGATTAGGATGACATTAACTTGTGGGTTGGGAAGTAGTTGATGAGGTAGAACCTATTACCCTATTACATTCAACCCTTGGGAGTTACTTCTACGCTTTGCTTATATTGCTATGCTATGCTCGTAGACGTGGTTTGGGTGAGTGAAATCCATGACAGATGTGAGATTGTTAATTAATGGTTCAACTTAAGGTGGCAACTTAAATTTACATCTGGGTGGATTGAGGCACCTGGAGTACGCAGTGTTGCCTGTATTTTTGGAAATCCCGGAGTACCCGTGTGATCTTCCTATGGACCACCACCCAGGCTCAAAGGGAACTGAGATTATTCATGCTAGAAACTTCCGTGTGCAGCCATAAGCTATTATGGGCTCTAGCATAGTCGAGTAAGTTACGTGAAGCTCTTGAAGAGGTGGATCAGCAGGTAGTGGGTTGTAGGTTTGGTATGGTCTGCCCGGAGTAGAGAGTTAATGTTTCTGAAAGACTCTGTCTCGGTCATCCGTTTCTCAAACATCATGCAGTGCGAGAAAACTAATGGAGGCGATTGAGTCTTGTGGGGAAAAGTGTGCAAACCTCTACAGAGTGTATAAACTAATCATGGTTAGCCGTGTCCCCGCTTATGGACAATCTTGAGTATCTAGTACTTGAAGTATCTTAAGTATCTCATCACTCTTAATTAATATTGATGGGTTGTTAATCACTTTAATTGGGATTGAGTTGGAGGAACCTTCTCAATGATGTTTCAACTACCATGATAATAAAATTTAAAGTCTATTCCTTTGTTGTAGGGAAAAATTGGCTTTTCGCAAAACTGTAACCATAGAGCTTTCCACCAGCCAAATATGCATGTAGTGATAGCATTATTCTGTTCTTGCTCTACTGTGTTACTTTGCCAGCATATTTCATGTGCTGACCCGTTTTCGGGCTGCAACGTATTATGTTGCAGACTTTTCAGACGAGGAGTAAGGTTCGTTAGGTCATTGCCGTGCAGCTCAGCTATGTCGTTGGAGTTGATGGACTCACTTTATCTTCCAAGCCTTCCGCTGTTATCGTGTTAGATGGCCTTAAGCCATATTTATTGTAAGAAGTTCTCTTTTGAGACATCCGATGTAATAAGTGTGTGATTGCTACTCTGTTATAAATCCTTCGAGTACTTGTGTGTGTCAGCATTACCGATCCAGGGATGACACTAAAGCACAGAGACTTGACCGTTTGAGGTTGGGTCGCTACAAAGATGGTATTAGAGCACACGCTGAGTGTAGGACACGCCCACTAAGCTAAAGCCATAAATCACTATTCTCTTCTCACTTTCGACTCCTCTCCATTTTCTACTCTTTAGGATGGCGGATGCAAGGAACAAGTTTACACAACCGGATGAAGAAGCACCTTTTGGGCGACACTTGAAGGAAGTCACTAGGTACCTGAACATAGGTATACCAAAGCTTCGTCGGGACCTACAACGCCACTTTACCAAAAGAGGAGCGATGGATGATTCAAGTTCAAGTTCCAGGAAGGACCTTCACGCTAGTCACTAAACCTATAGAGTTTTCCTTCGACGCACCAACCTGGAGTTTAGGAAAGAGTATGGCAGCTCACATCACCATGGGACGCATTGGAGAAGTATATCGCAAGGAGGTTAAGGACACTATCTACTAGATATGTGGGCGCCGAGACAAGCAATGGGAGATGATCAGCACCAGGAAGGATAGATCAATTGCAGCTTTCATCCATGAGTTAAACCAGCACATTCGACGTCAGGAGAATCAGATGTGCACAGACATGATAGATTTGAAGAAGGCGAAGACAAGGATCATCGAGATGGAAGAAGAACTTAAGTCTACACACGATGGATATGAGGAGGAAATTGCGACACTATTGGAGAAGAATGACGACCTGATTAAGAAGATCAAAATATTTATGGGAGACCCCGCTCCAGTAGAAGAAGATGAAGAACCCAAGGAGATTCGACCGGAGGACTACATCATCATCGACGACACCGACTCCGACCCGAGTGATGATGACTATGAAGGCGAAGCTGGAGCAAATATCATGGAATCTTCCACCAATCAAAATTCCTAGATGACCACCCAATGATTAGTAGTATTCCACCATGTAAATAGAGTAGTCCGAGCACTTTTGCGATAGTTAGATCGATTGTATGCCTTGCTTGATTGATTGAGTGAAATGATTGTGTTTGTCTCATGTTCATATGGGTAGTGCCTTCTCATTAGACCTCATTCTATTCTAATCTCTTCCCTCTAAACCCATCAGATGCCTCCGAGACGTGACCCCGGATTTGCCTTCCCGCCGGAGCTCACTCAGTTGATTCAGCAGCAGAATACCCTGATGCAGTTGCTAGTTCAGAACCAGGGCAACAACAACAAAAACAACAACAACCCGCCGCCAGTGGACAACCTAGCTCGTTTTCTAATGTTACAACCACCGGTGTTTTCCAGTAGCACCGAGCCTATAGTAGCAGATGATTGGCTCCACAAGATTGGAAGGGAGTTGACCACTGTAGGATGCACCGATGCTGAGAAGGTTCATTTTGTCGCACATCAGTTGGATGGACCAGCAGCATCATGGTGGGAGAATTACACTGTCACCTACCCCATAGCCACGGTGACATGGGACCAATTTCATCAAGCTTTCCACACAGCCCATGTCTCCACTGGAGCTATGAGTATGAAGAAGCGTGAGTTTCGCAACTTACGCCAGGGGAACTGTACTGTGGCCCAGTACGTGGATGAGTTTAGCAAGCTATCTCGCTATGCCCCTGATGATGTGGCCACAGATGCCGCGAAGTAGGAGAAGTTATGGAAGGGCTGAATGATGAGATGAGCATGCAGTTGATGGTGGCAACATTCACCAACTACCAGGAGTTGGTAGATAAGGCTCTTATGATTGAAGGGAAGCAGCAGCAGATTGAGAGCCGTAAGAGGAAGTATGGACAAGGGAGGTATAACTCGGGATCTCAGCAGAGGCCTCGCCTAACCCCGAACTCGGGAGGACTTGTTCATAACCATGGAGGTCATAACCACACCGGAGGAGGATCGCATAATCACAATGGTACTAAGAATGGGAATGGGAACAGAGCCCATAACAGTCAGAACCGCCCCAATCCAACCACACCCGCCAAAAGAGATCTAAGTCACGTTACTTGTTTCAAGTGCGGGAATACTGGACACTATGTCGTGGAGTGCCCTGAAGGAAAGAATGGAAATGGAAATGGGAGCACTGGGAAGAAGCCTAGTCCATTCAACAAAGGACAAGTGAACCACGTTAATGTGGAGGAGGTTGAAGAGCAGACGGACGCAGTAACAGGTAAGTTTTTGGTTAAGTCATTTACCGCTCTTGTTTTATTTGATACTGGTGCATCACATTCATACATATCAAGGGGATTTGTGGATACGTTTAAACTACCAACTCAAACCCTTAGGACCCCTCTCTTAGTGAGTTCACCTAGAGCAGAGTATATGGCTAGTCGATGGTGCGACTAGATACCCCTAACCATTGGCACCCATGTTTTTCCGTCTGACCTAATTATCTTGGAGTCACAAGGATTGGATGTGATATTAGGCATGGACTGGATGTCAAAGTATGGAGGAAGTATTGACTGTGCTAGTAAGTCGATTTATCTCACCACCCCGGAGGGAAAAAGGATTAAGTATGTATCTAGGCATGTGCCTAGGAGGAGCCAAGTGAATACCCTCACGGGAGTTGTTCAAGAGGAAGTGCCTGTAGTGAGGGATTACCCGGATGTTTTTCCAAAGGAGTTACCAGGCATGCCACCGGATCGAGACATCGAGTTTTTGATAGAGCTACTGCCAGGTACCAGGCCAATATCCAAGAGACCCTATCGGATGCCCGCGAATGATCTGGAGGAAATTAAGAAACAGATCAAGGAGTTGTTGGAGAAATGATACATTCGAAGGAGTTCATCACCTTGGGGAGCCCCAGTGCTTTTGGTTGAGAAGAAGGATACATTCCTAAGAATGGTTGTTGATTATCGGGCCTTAAATGAAGTGATGATCAAGAACAAGTACCCACTGCCGATGATCAATGATCTGTTTGATCAGCTGCAAGGAGCTAAGGTGTTTTCAAAGATCGATTTGTGATCGGGATACCATCAGTTGAAGATTCGAGAGAAAGATATACCAAAGACAACATTCACCACGCGTTACAGATTATATGAGTATACATTCATGTCGTTTGGACTGACCAACGCCCCTGCCTATTTCATGAGCATGATGAACAAGGTGTTCATGGAATATTTGGACAAGTTTGTTGTGGTGTTCATTGATGATATTATGGTATACTCGAAGAATGAAGAGGAGCACAAGGAGCATTTGCGACTAGTTCTCGAGAAACGCAGGGAACACCAGTTGTATGCCAAGTTCAGCAAATGCGAGTTTTGGTTGAAGGAAGTCGGATTCCTTGGACATGTTATATCAGGAGAGGGTATAGCAGTAGACCCCACCAAGGTTCAATCAGTCACTGAATGGTTGGCACCCACTTCAGTTAGCGAGATCCACAGTTTTCTTGGACTCGCCGGATACTATCGGAGATTCATTGAGATTTTTTTTCCAAGATTGCGAAGCCAATGATGGAGTTATTGAAGAAGGATACCAAGTTTAAATGGACAGATGACTGCGAGGCAAGTTTTCAGGAGTTGAAGAAACATTTGACTACAGCCCCAGTGCTGACGCTGCTAGATATACATAAGGACTTTCAAGTTTATTGCGACGCCTCTCGCTTGGGACTTGGATGTGTACTTATGCAGGACGGAAGAGTTGTTTCGTATGCCTCGCGACAACTAAAACCTCACGAGTTGAATTATGACACGCATGATTTGGAGTTAGTAGCCGTAGTGCATGCATTGAAGACTTGGAGACGTTACCTTATTGGAAACCGTTGTGATGTGTACACGGATCATAAAAGCTTGAAATACATCTTCACACAGAAGGAACTGAACCTTAGGCAAAGGAGATGGTTGGAGCTTATAAAGGATTATGACATGAAGCTGCACTATCATCCAGGAAAGGCCAATGTCATAGCCGACGCTTTGAGCCGGAAGAGTTATGCTAATATCCTTGCGAGTAAGGGAGTGCCAAAGGAGTTAGCAGAGGATATCGTGGAACTTCGATTAGAGATTGTTCCTAGAGGTTTTGTTGCAACAATGGAGGTTCAGTCTATATTGTTGGGAAAGATTCGAGAAGCTCAGAAGGATGACAAAGAGATTGCCGAGATAAAGGAGAAGATGAGCAAAGGAAAGGCCAAAGGTTTTCGTGAGGATGAGCACGATACCTTATGGTTTGAGGACTGGATATACGTGCCCAATAACACAGAGATCGGGAAGTTAATACTACAGGAGGCTCATGACTCACCATATTCAATACACCTCGGAAACACCAAGATGTATTTGGATTTGAAAGAACGTTTCTGGTGGACAGGTATGAAGAAGGATATTGTCGAGTATGTAGCCGTATGTGATGTATGTCAGAGAGTGAAGGCAGAGCATCAAAAGCCGGCAGGATTGTTACAGCCTATGCCGATACTCGAATGGAAGTGGGATAAACTTGGCATGGACTTTATCACCGGATTGCCCAGGACTAAATCAGGATATGATTCCATATGGGTAGTAGTTGATCGCTTGGCCAAAGTGGCTCACTTTATCCCAGTGAAAACCACTTATACAAGTGCGAAGTTGGCCAAGATATATGTCCAGGATCGTATGTCTGCATGGAGCTCCGAGGACCATCCTATCAGATAGAGGAACACAATTTACCTCAAAGTTTTGGCATCAGTTACACCAGACTTTGGGTACGAGATTGGAGTTCAGTACAACATTTCACCCGCAGACGGATGGACAGACAGAGAGAGTCAATCAGATTCTGGAGGACATGTTGAGAGCGTGTGCGCTAGATTATGGATCTAGTTGGGATGAAAATTTGCCTTACGCAGAG